GGCTTTCCTCCGAAGAACACCTGTCATTGCAACAGCCAACCACGAATTGTGGAAATGGGCACCGAGTGAACAAGAGGCCATTGAAAACAGATGCCTCCTCTATAGAAACCTAAAGGCATGTCCCTTATTGGCTAAGGTCTCTAAGAAATGTCACCCCTGTGTATGGCACTACTTGATTGAGCAACTCCAAGAGGACGATATATCCATCCGCGGAGGATCAGCCAGAGCAGGTGGGTCGACACAGAGCAGTATCAGACAAGTGCCCAGTCAGACTAGCAGCTCAGCCCCATCATGCGCAAGTTCGTCAGGGAGCGACTCGCCGATACCACCAACACCACCGGCCCCGAAGCGCCCGCCCCTGCACCTGAGCCCGGGACACGAGGTGACGCAGAAGAGAAGGAGGCTCTTTCAGACCATAACCGAGATAGACGAGCCAATCATTGCAATCTCCGAAACCCCACCTGCCACCAGTACCACCTCCCCAAGCCCAAGCCCTCCGAGCTCAAACCAGAGCAGCCATGGAGGCTTTGATTTTGATAATTGGTCGTGGCGATCGGGAACAGTACCCACCATGCCAGGAGTAGAGCCCCTCCACACGAGTACAGAGTCAGTCAGTAGTGAGTTACCGGACATTACTATGGTGACTGCCATCAGTCAGGAGCAACCACAAGACATCACCATGGTCACCGCTGCCTCCCAAGACCTATACAGCCAACACTATGAGCCACCGGCTGAAGTCATAGATACCTATACGGTCAAGGACTCTATGAGTGACATGGAAAACGAAGTCATCACCATCAGTTCAGAGGGAGACACAGAGCTGCTGAACATTTGTCAGATTGTCGATGAAGCCAATCAAGTCCTCGAAGCAGCCGAAGCAGAACGCAGGGCAGGACCGGCATGCATGGCCGACTGGGACAGGGAAACAACAGACAGGGAACCCACAGCATGGGACAATGTCAACTGGGTGAGGGATCCTCTGTACGGATACCAGGCCATCTACCATAATGACCGATAAACATCACCTAAACTAAATTTTATTTATTAAATTAATTTAGTAGAATTTGTCACCCCCACTGTATGTGTTAATTTCGAGGGGAGTAGTATTGTATTAGGGACATGGGATGAAACAAACAATGAGAGACCCCCGGTCAGAAAATGGAATATTCCGGTGGGGATGGAACCTGAAACAAAGTGTCCTAGTGAGTCATTTGAGAGCATGCATCTGATGCGAGAGGTTCTCTGGTGTATCACGCTTGCGCAGACTGCGTGTCTCTTGTGGCATGTCAATCAGGTGGCGATACCTATATTACGAGTGCTTACTGCGTACGTTGAGGGAATTAAGCAGAGTCATCCGAGGTGTGATGCCCAAACGCAAACCCCGACGGTACAAAAGGACGACCAGCTAAACGATGCCGCCGGTGAGACTACGATGGGCCAAGGACGGGAGCGACGGGCTGCTCATCCTGGATTGGAGGGTCAACAATTTGCCCATCCATCTGCAGGAAGGTATTGCCGAAATGTTGTTGGACGCACCCACACCGATTAAAGTGGATTACATCAAGGATGACGGGATACAGTTGGGAGAGAATCACTTACGGCCGGAGCCGCCGTGGCAACAGGAATCGTCTTGGGATAGAACGGTACGTAAACGAATGAACTGGGTACGTCTCTTGACAGTCGAATGGCAGAATAGAAATAGGGATAGAGAAGCCGAACACGGATTCAATTGGAGAGATCCTTATTCAAAACCGCCCAACCAACTCAATTATGACGATATACAGCCCTATCTGATGGATCAAGAAGAAGCGGATAAACCTTTTATTCCGGTACCGGTCCATTTATTGGGGTATAACTTTTGTGGTCCGGGGACCCGAGACTTCTCCCGCAAGCCAGTCAACCATGTAGACAATGTATGTAGGATACATGACCTCATGTATGCCGACGAATCCATCTCGACCGAACTGGCCGATAAGGTGATGGTGTATAACTTGTGGCAGACGCCGGGCATGACGGCTGCTTTCCTCAAGAATATCTTTCAAACCAAGATATGGTTTGATACCCAATTTCCGGGACTGTCCGATAGAGTGTTTCGACCGAGTGCAGGGGCGTATTACTGCAATTGAAAATCCTGTACGCATTTTCAATTGCAGTAATTTTTAGAAATTAGCAGATTTTTGTCGTTTTTATTCACTGTAAGTACAAATCCATTGTTTTATTCCATATTTTGGTATCAGTCTCGAGCAAAATCAAGAGAAAAATTGATCTTTTTTTCAGCTTACGGAGCTGCTCGCGTAAATTTGCATGCAAAAATCCATGGACCACAGGACGTTTTCACAGCATCTGCACACGCAGCAGAGATCCGGATTTGAAGTCAGACAAGAAACATGACCTCATTTTCTGTTATTTCTGGATCAAACCCGACAAATTTACCTTGAAATTTCGTTCCCTTCTTTTAAAAATACAATGTCGTGGCGTGGATTCGAAATATGAACAATGCGTGATCCTGTAGTATAGCAACCGCGATCACGACTCACTCAGTGTCACAGCACCGCGACACGCTCCAACCAAAGTGCCGCCCGCGCTGCACATGCACTCGCCTCCGTCCGATGCACGGTCAAATGACAGCCTGCACGCTGTCCACACGCTGTAGTTGCATGTCAAAACACCATTCCAATCAGTAAATGTGACAAATACTCGAGTATTGTGGGCGTACAGGTCCCTTGTGTAGGATAACGGGAAAAGAAATGTCTGGAAATAGCATATTTTGTCCCCCAAAACGGCCGTTGAAACGAACTCGAAAAACAAGTAGCCATGTTTTTTGGGGTTGGGCTGTACCATTACTTCTGAGGGGGTGATTATAAGACAATATACCGTTTTGCAAGAGAAAGCACCATTTCATTTAGAAATTTTAACTGAACATCAATCAAAATTCTCTTTGAGCTTACCAAGTACAATTCTACATTGACTTTTGCCAGTTTATAACACGTTTGAGTTGTACAATAAGCGTGTTCACGGTTGTTTTTAATGCTACCCGCTAACATAGCGGTAGACTCTTCCATCCAAGAGCCGGTCCAGCCTGCGTGCACATTTTTGAATTTGGCGTTATGCACTGACGATAACGCCTGTTGGTGTAGAGCTGCTCTGGTAAACAGTTGTGAGATTTGAACGTAGCGCATTTTCCAAAGATTGTCCGGACGAACCATTTTTGGAAAATTGACAACATTTTGATTTTTCTCAAGAACGGCAGCACTTTAGGAGAAGAAATTTTGCAAATTGCTTTTTTGCATTATATGCTTTCCTTACATTAGGAAATTTCAATGAAATTCGGTAGTCCCGAGTTCTGAGGTGCGCAAATCCCGTACACTTCCTTTAAAATGTTGGAGCTACTTGCTCTAGTATAAACTGAAAAATCGTGGTTTTTAGGCAGCAAGTACTTGATCCCGTCACCCATGCCAGTGATAATCTCTTGGATTTTCTAACACAGGAAATTTCCACAAGCTAGGCTACTCCTTGAGCTTAAAAAGCAATCACCATTCTTCATTTTTTTCAAAACAGTTAAATTAAAATATGAAACAATTTAATGGATTTGTACCAAAGTAAACAACACCCAAATATGCTAATTACTAACAATTTCTTGTAAATGCAAATATCGGAACCCACACCATACTGTCTAAGGCCATGAAGAACACTGAAGTGACATATGCACTCGCACGGATGCAAACAGTAGAACCTACAGACTAGTAACTGTTTTCTCTTATTTCTGTAAATAAAGGCCATGTAAGCATTCATAATCATACCTTTTTGTACAGTTTAATTAATATCATGCATTAAAAACAATGGTATTCAAAAACCCTATCTTTCCATGTGCAAAATTTCAAATTTGCCAGTTTGGCCGCAGTGCCCTGTGATTTTCGGAGGCACTTAAGGCCAGTTGGCCTTGCCCCTCAAAAAGTTAAGGTTGAGGCCTGCGTATAAAATTCTTGAATTGGTGTACACGTACAAAAATACTTATTGTTTGTGCAAGCTTGCTTGTTGGGTGAGTCGGACATTCCATCGATTGGTTACAGTTGCTGCAGATAAATTTGATTTTTGCCGCAGCGAATAAAATGCGCCTCATACATGTACGTGGGTATTTACGGTATTTGTTGGGTATTATACATACTGTTATGAATATTTATAGCCAAGGCGAAATATGTCATTTAAGAAAATGTTCAAAAATTTGCTTAGACACAAAAAACTTTTTACAAAACACAGATAACATAAATGTATCTTATGCATGCCAGTTACTTTTATACGCAGCATGACGGTGTGAGTCCGAAACAAAATCTATACCCCAGATCTGCACTCAAGCCCATATTTTTTTTAGGAGTGTGGGAAGAGAAAGGTACTGTCATATTTGTAACAAATTCCCAGTGGGAACTTGTTCTACAGTTCAGCGGCCTAATTTTATGAATGAAGTAGTCTAGAATATTCTGTATCATTCTCTAAATCTCTTTTGCTTGTTTGTACTTTTTTTTAGGAAACACTGAAATCAAACAGACCAAAGAGACCATGCGTTTTCTGTGGGGAGATGCAAGCACAGCTTGTGCGACTATGAAACGAAAGCACAAAAAAGAAGAAGCTGTAAAAGCTGCGCTGCTTTTGCCACGGCCAGAGATGCTGAGGGCAATAACCCAGCTTCGTAAGGATGGAATTTACAATGAAAAACAGAAGAGGATACAGTCACATGGGGACACTGACTTCTTGAGAGAGAGATTCCAAAATACACAGGATAACATAGTAATGTGCAGCAATTGTAACGGCTTTTACAGCAACAAATGTATCTGGCGACACAAGCAGACCTGCAGTGACAGTGCACTTGCATATATATTCAAAGTGTACCTGTAACATCACTTACCGGTAGTATGGACAGTGCTCCTTGTGATGACAAATTCTGAAAGTCAATTTTGGACAGGTTTCGGACTGACGTCGTTGGCAACATCTGTCGTACAGACAAAATGATCACACAGGTCGGCAAAAGAATGTGGAACAAATCAAGCAAGGACCGTAAGGCTGTCATGAACAACATGAGGCGACTAGCAAACTTGGTGGTCGCCTTCCAAGATGCCCACCATCCACCCAATAAGAGTCTTGGTGGTGACGATTTGCTTGACCGCCAAAGATTTACAGAACTGGAAGAGGCCTTGCAAGTCATGGCAGAGAAAGAAGGCGGCGGCATAAAGGCAGGCTTGAAGCTAGGTCTCGGCTTCCTGCTAAAAAAATCTGCAAGGGTAATGAGGGCACTGTACATCGTTAACAACGAACTTCAGAAGTCAAAGGAGGTTGACAGATTCCTCAAGGCCATAGATCTAAGCTGGGAGTACGTATTTGGCCTAACCCAGTACGAAGTTGAAAACAAGCGGCAGGCTGTCCTCAGGAAGCCACAGTCGATGCCCTTAGAGGAGAACATAGCAAGTTCGAAGGCTTTCACCATAAGCGCCATGGAAAACATGATTGAGGATCCATATTTGAAGTGGGATAGCCACGAGTTCAAAAAGATGCGTGCCCTCATTGTCAGCAGGCTGACACTTTTTAATGCAAGACGGGGTGGCGAACCATCAAGACTCACCTTGCAAGAATGGGAGGATGCGAAGCGGCAGTCCTGGGTGGATCTGCAACTGCTGCAAACAGTGGATGACCCGCTGGAGAAATCCCTCCTGAAGTCATTCAGGTTGACTTACCAACGAGGTAAGGGGTCCAGGAAACTTGTGCCAGTTTAAATTCCGGAAGACTGTATGACTCCAATTGAGATGCTCATAGACAACAGAAAAGAAGCTGGTGTTTGTCCCAACAATGAATTCTTATTCCTCTTCACCCAAAGGTCCATGGACCACGTGAACGGTTGGGTTGCAATAAAAGAAGTGACACAGTCCATGGGCGAACAGCTGAAAAGCCCTCATCTGATTACCGCCACCAAGTTCAGACACAGGGCTTCAACGCTCTACTCTCTATTTGATGTTCCTGAGAATGAACGGAGTGTTCTTGCAAACACATGGATCACTCTGCCGAAATAAATCAGAACATCTACCAATGTCCTGCAGCCATCAAGGAAATAGTAACAGTTGGTGGTTGTATATATTTTTTGCGTAGGGGAGATGTTAATTATATATAACAGGTTTTGCCCTTACCCAACGTATATATTAATAAGCACTGCATGCTCAGTGCTTGTCCGGGAGCTTGCGAAAAAACCTCACAAGCTTACTCGGGTCGGACTCGAACCCACGACCTCCTGCTTACTAGTGAAGATGTCTTAACCCGTCGACCACCGAGCTTGCCGTGGTCGGCAAAGTCAAATGAAGCAGCGGGTAACGCGAACTATTTTCAAGATGTATTTTTTTTACTCGACTCGACCCCAGCAAGTCCCACCCGAGTAAGCTTGTGAGGTTTTTTTTTTTTCGCAAGCTCTTGGACAAGCACTGAGCATGCAGTGCTTATTAATATATACGTTGGGTGAGGGCAAAACCTGTTATATATAATTAACATCTACCC